TCCTGCCGGTCCGTGTAGCGCGCACTGCCTCGCCGCCCTTCCTACCCTCTTCCGTGGGCCTCTCATCTGCACTTGGCTCCGGAGACTCCGTTCTGCTAGTCTTCTGGCAGTTTTCTGGGTTATTTAGGCAGGTGTAGGTGGAATCTAAGTGATCAGCAGGACGCACGGTGAGCCAGCATCCTCCTATGCTGCCATCTTCCTAAACTCAAAATTTTCATTATTGATTTTCATCTCCTTTTTTTCCTTTAAGACACTAATGGCACTTCTTTAAATTTTTTTTTTAACGTTTATTTATTTTTGAGAGACAAAGTGTGAGCAGGGAAGGAACAGAGGGAGAGGGAGACACAGAATCCGAAACAGGCTCCAGGGTCTGAGCTGTCAGCACAGAGCCCGATGGGGGGGGGCCCGAACCTGCAAACAGTGAGATCGTGACCTGAGCCAAAGTTGGACGCTTAACCGAGTGAGCCACCCAGGTGCCCCTAAAGGCACTTATTTTAAAACCTGTATCTAAAATTCTATTATCTGTAAACTCGTATTTTTGGTAGATATCAAATATGGAAAACTAAAAATAACTAGATGCCAAGGATATTAACTTCCTCTAGAAGAGGTATATGTGCTGCAGGTCTATGACTAGTGACACTACCACTTCTTGATTATTTTCATCAAATTTCAAGGACTAAGATAATATGAAACTGGGCTTCCCTGTGTGGGTGAGAGTATATTTGGTTCACCCTTCCTCCTCTAACATAGCTTCAGGATCCTAAATCAGAGAAGGGAATCTACTACATTCCAGGCTCTGATTTCTGATCTTTATCTTCCTAGCCTCAAGAGTTTGTCAGAAGTGCTGTTCAGCTTTTCAGGATCTTAACCACTTCTTTAGGGGTCAATAGATACCCAGTGGAAAAGTGGCCCCAAAGTAGGTCTCCTATCTGGGTTCCTGTATCTTCCTCATCTTGGCCCCATCACTCTTTACTTCCTTGTTACCAATACACTGCACCTTCAAAAAACAATCTTTTTTCTTATTTCATCCTCAGTAGGACAGTTGGTCAAAATTAATTTTTCTCATTAAATTTTTCATTTGAAGAAGTTTTATTTGGTTGTTTTTCAAATATGTTATATCACTTTTTAAAGTTTCCTGTTCCTTACAAATACCTTTTATTTCTTTAAATACGGTATGTTATTTTAATTGCAGTATCTTTTAGTACATTTACTTCTTATACCTAATGTTTTTGAAGGTTTCTCTATCATTTCTTCCTAGTTCTTACTAAAGGCACCTTGTTTCCTGGTACATTTGGTTATCTTTGCGTGTGTACTGCTTACTTTCCTTGAATAATGATCTACGGAGACTACCTGAAGATTTGGGAAAGGTAACTATCTCCAGAGAGGATCTGCACTTGCTTTTATTGAGAACCTTAAGAGCACTATACATCCAGGATCACCAGGTTCATCCAGGATCATCCAGGTTTTCTTCATTTTCTCCTCCTCTACTCAGTGCCAATGTAACTCTTCCCACAGTCCCCCAGAGGTGGAGATTTCTTCTGTTTAATTATTCTGAGAATTCATCAATTTAGGTTCCCAGCTTTCATAAACTTTATGTATGTGTGCATCTTTTAAAAATTCAGCCCTTTTAGGGGTGCCTGGGTGACTCAGTCAGTTAAGCATCCGACTTCAGCTCAAGTCATGATCTTATGGTTCTGCTGACAGCTCAGAGCCTGGAGCCTGCTTCAGATTCTGTGTCTTCCTCTCTCCCTGCCCCTTCCCCTCCCTCCCCCCCCCCCAATAAACATTTAAAAAAATTTAAAAACTCAGCCCTTGTAGTAATTTTCAGAATATGGTTTGAGTAAAAAAAAAAAAAAGAAAAAGAAGAAAAAGAAAAAAGAATAAGCGTTGGAATTAGTATTATTGACCTAGCTCACATCCACTAGGAGTACAAGACTACTTGCTACATATCTATACCTTAAAACTATATCCATTCTATCCCACATGGCAGTTTCACACAAAACTAAGTAAAATCAGAAATTACTTTCAATTATATTTTTTCTGACAAGACTGCTGTTCTTTGAGATTGGCTACATGGAACCCCAGTTATATCTGATGTGTAATTACAATGAGGGAAAACAGATTCATGTTACCCATTTCCATGATAAGTTAGTCTCTTTTATTTTTATTTACTTATTTTTTTAAAGTAGGCTCTGCATCCAGCGTGGAGCCCAACATGGGTCTTGAACTCACAGCCCTGAGATCAAGACCAGAGCTGAGATCAAGAGTCAGACGCTTAACTGACTGAGCCACCCAGGCATCCCAAGTTAGTCTCTTTTAAATCACAAAAACTTTAAGTAACTTCTACTCTCAGACTTAGCACATTGAATATTAATTGATTCAGGGTATTTCTTGTCTCATTAAGAGGAAAGACAATAGTTAATTCACTGCTATAAAGTTTGGCACCCCATGGGTGCTGACTAAATAATTTTTGAATAAATAAGCAAATGAGTAAGTAAAAAGACATTAAGTAATACTGCCTTCAAAATACTGTTCCATAAGAAATGAAAGAAATTTCACAGTAAAGAGGTTACCACCATTTCAGTAATAATGAAAAAGATTATATTCATTAGTAAGACATAAAAACAACTGAATAAAAACAGAAACACCAAATTTGAGGGCTCAAGTAAAATGAAAAGATGAATAAGAAAAACATGATTGAAAACACAATGTATTCAACCTCAGTGTGAACAGGAGGGGGTGTGTACCAATAACATACAATATAACCCCACAAATGCAAGAAGGTCTGAATGTAAACAGGAAAATGCAAATTAAAGCCACAGTGAGTTATAATGAAAGATCTAACAGACTGGCAAAATCTAAAAATCAGCCATATAGAAGTAATATGGAGACTGCAATGTACAGCATTTTTCTTTTTCTTTTTTTAATTTTTTTAATGTTTTTTAATTTATTTTTGAGACAGAGAGAGACAGAGAATGAGTGGGGAAGGGACAGAGAGAGAGGGAGACAAAGAATCTGAAGCAGGCTCCAGACTCTGAGCTGTCAGCACAGAGCCCGACGCAGGGCTCGAACTCACAGACTGTGAGATCGTGACCTGAGCTGAAGTCGGACGCTTAACCGACTGAGCCACCCAGGCGCCCCTACAGCATCTTTCATATACTGTCAGCGAGAATATGTTATACAGCCTTTGTGAACATATGATCCATCAATTGTGCTCCAAGGTATACACCATAAAGAAAATATTATACATGTGTACCAGGAGACAACATACAAAAATGTTCATAAGCAGCCTATTCATAATAGCAAACAACTATAAAAAACTGAAAAGCCTATCAATTGCAAAATGGATAAATACATTTTGGCATATTTATACTGCACTGGAATACTACATAGTAGTTAAAATTAAGAAACTACAATTATACTCAGCAACATTAATAAATATATAAATACATCACAAAGCAAAAGAAAAGCAGATCAATATTTATAACGATTCAATTTATATTATATTTATAAAAAATCAAAGTCAGATAAAAGGACATTTATATGTTGTTTTCTGTTTTTTGAGAGAGCATGTGTGTGTGCATACAAGCTGGGAAGGGGCCGAGGGAGAGGGAGAAAGAGAATCTTCAGCAGGCTCCATGCTTAGTGCAGCGTGCAAAGCAGGGCTCCATCTTATGATTGTGAGATCATGACCTGACCCGAAATCAAGAGTCAGACACTTAGCTGATTGAGCCACCCAAGCGCCCCAATATAGAATATGTATAAACATACACATGTATGATCCTGTGAGAAAATGCTTAACATGAAATAACAGTTACTAGGAGTTGGAGAAAAATATAAGACAGGACTCACAAGAAGCTTCAACAGGTTGTGGTTGTTTTGTAAAGACAGTTGATGAATAGATACTTGTTTTATTATTCTTTATACTATATATAAAAACTATGAATATATATTCTTTGGATGTGTATTTTGCAATTAAACATTTAAGTACCAGGTGATCCAAAAGATATGCAGTTAAAAATATATATAAAAGGAAAAATAAGTATAAACATTAGGTTTCCAAAAATTACACTAGAAATTACACTGGAATTTACTTACCCATCTGCTTTCCTATCAGAGCATTAATTTCCTCCAGGATATGGACATATTATATGTTAATGCTTAGAGAATACAACCGAAAGAATGACTTTTTAAACTCATATGACCTCAGACAGCACTTTTCAAGGAAAGAATTTAGTTCATGGTCTTGATATCATCTAAATATACCACTTTAGTAAAATAACAAACTATATTAAGTTTATTTTCCCTAAAAGGCAGTCATTGAGTCCAAGTCCAACTTACTAACATTTCCTTAAACATTTACAGACCGACTTGAGTTTGAATACAATAGAAGTCACAACATCTTCTTAGATCAGCACGGAGATCAGTTACTGCTCAAATTTTTTTTTTCAACGTTTATTTATTTTTGTGACAGAGAGAGCATGAACGGGGGAGGGGTAGAGAGAGAGGGAGACACAGAATCTGAAGCAGGCACCAGGCTCTGAGCTGTCAGCACAGAGCCTGACGCGGGGGCTCGAACTCACGGACCGCGAGATCGTGACCTGGCTGAAGTCGGACGCTTAACCGACTGCGCCACCCAGGCGCCCCAATCAGTTACTGCTCAAAATAGTAACAGCACCTAAGCCAGTTCTTTTCATTAACATTTTCCTCAAAAGGTATCAAGAAACTTAATTTTGCATCATTAGTTATCTGGAAAAAATACATATTAGATTTTAAATGCTCCAGGAGACACAAGTAAGCCTATGTTTCATCAAATTCCACACTGCATTTGTCTATGAAATAAACATTCTTTCAAAACTAAAAAAACCAAAAAACAAAATAAAAATCTACCTCACATTTTCAAAGACCGAATAAATTATTAATGGATTCCAGATAATTGCTGTCAATTAAATGCCTATTTAAATTTTGACTTCTAAATGGTATCAGGAGCTTCATCTTACCTGGGGAGGATAGTTGCTCTCTGAGGACCACCGTGAAGATTGGTCATTTGGTTTATCCACTAAAATGTTCCTGAAATAAAGAAAATTATAGCAAATAATTAAAATTATAAATGAATATGGGGGATGAGTGGGTGGCTCAGTCAGTTAAGTGTCCGAATCTTGATTTTGGCTCAGGTCATGATCTCATAGTTTATGAGTTTGAGCCCTGTGTCAGGCTCTCTGAACTGATAGGACAGAGACTGCTTGGGATTCACTCTCTCTCCCTCTCTCTCTGCCCCTCTCTGCTCACACACTCTCTCTCTCTCTCTCTCTCTCTCAAAATAACTAAAACTTAAAAAAATAAAATTACAAGTTGAATATGAATATGCAAAAAGAGGAATAATCTACCAGATGCTGAAATTACCATAGGTATATAATGTTTGGAGCTTGAACAGAAAGAGAAAATAAAACAGAATAAGGAACAGAAAAGCTCTAGTATATATAAGATTTTGAAAATATGACAAAGGTAGCATTTCAAACAATGGAGAAAAAAGCAAGAAAAAATATACTTCTGCTTCATACCAAGTGACAAAGTGAACAGTACATACATTTAAGGTGAAAAAACAAAATACCTAAGAATAATAAATTACCATATATACACATCATATATATCACTATATTACACAATTATATTGTTATATGTTATATATATAATACATATATTAACATCATATATGCATATTTATATACATACAATCAATCTTTAGATTAAGAAGTCTTTTTTTTTTTAATTTTTTTTTTCAACATTTATTTTTTGGGACAGAGAGAGACAGAGCATGAACAGGGGAGGGGCAGAGAGAGAGGGAGACACAGAATCGGAAGCAGGCTCCAGGCTCTGAGCCATCAGCCCAGAGCCCGACGCGGGGCTCGAACTCACGGACCGCGAGATCGTGACCTGGCTGAAGTCGGATGCTTAACTGACTGCGCCACCCAGGCACCCCAAGATTAAGAAGTCTTTAAAGTACAGCATCTGAATCAGAACTCTGGGTGAAAAAAAGGAACTGATGTAAGTAACTTTAGAAGATGGTGCCTTCACCTGAAACTATAAGGCTAAAGACAAATGGAACCATATATAAAAACTGTACTTTATTTTATAAAGTTGTTTTCTAAGATATATGGGTTAATTCTGAAATAGTTTACATGTAATGTATACTGGGGTTGAATAAATAAGTAAATGGATGGCAGATAGTGGGAGCCAAGCTTCTCACTTTGGAGTGGAAAGTTACAGAAAAGCAAAGGGAGGATGGTTAGAATGAACCCTGAGGTACTGGATCAGAGCCAGAGACATCAATCACTGTGAACTCATGTTTAGTTTAATATGGACACAGATAAATATAAAAGTAATTATAGATATATATGTGCATGTATGCACACACACCAGTTTTTCCTCTGTTTATTAAAAGGGACTAGAATTAGTGACACCCCAGTAGCAATGAGCACTCACAGCACCCAGAGCTTGGTTTCTACATAATATACCCCAATAAAAGAAAATAGAGATTCTAGGGGAAATGGCTGGTTCTAGGATTGGAACAGGGTTCAAAAGATAAACCTGGAGCATCCTGTAGCACTCAAAAAAATTAAAAAATAAAGGATGGAGACATATCAAAAAGACACAGAGAAACCAAAATAAAAGAATGAAAGAATGAATGGCCAAAGCTGAAATAATTTAAATAACAAAATAAATAGTGTAGTACTGGATTATAACCAAAGAATATAATAAATATCCATGAGTCCATACTAATATAATCCCACTCTAATCATCCAACAAACTCAAATTGAAGAACATTCAACAAAATATATGACTAATACTCCTCAAAACCCTAAATATAATGAAAAACAAGGAAAGAATGAAAACTTGTCACAGACCAGAGGCAAGTAAAGAGACATGATAACTAACAGTAATGATAGTTTATTTATTTTTTCTTAGTAATCTCTACAGCCAATGCAGGGTTCGAACTCATGACCCCAAGATCAAGAGTCACATGCTCTTCCAACTGAGCCAGCCAGGTGCTTCAAAAGTAGTAAGTATAAACATAAACATAAATACTTATTTATCTTCAATGTACAGATTAGGAAACTCAGAGAGATAAACTAATTTGCCTAAATATACAAACACCTAAGTAAGGATTTGAACCCAAGACCATCTGACTCCAAAGTCAATGCTCTTAATTATTATACTCCACAGCTTGAGAATTATTCTACTTCTTGGAACTTAACCAAAAAAATAATCCAGGGGATATAAATCATCCACATTCATCACAGCACAGTTTATAATAGCAAACTGTAAGCAACCTAATCATGTAACAATAAGGAATTAATTAGACAAATTATGACATAACTGTGTTACAGAATACCATGTACTCATGATCTACAGGCTAACTTTAATGTCACTGGAAAATGTTCACTACACAGTAAGTGAAGAGAAAAAGTAGTTTATAGTGTGTGTGTGTGTGTGTGTGTATGTGTGTGTATATATATATATATATATATATGACAAATCAAGTATTTTAAGTAATAATATTCATACATGGAGAGATAAGTTAAAGAACATATACTAAATTGTCAGTGTCACTTTCAGTGATGAGATTACATGGACTTTTCCCGTTTTCTGTACTATTCAAGCTTTCTAAAATTAACACACAGTACTTTCATAATAAAAAAAGTTTTTTTAAAAAAGAATGAATGATAAAACACAAAATGAAGATAACCCTACACAAAAAAATTGTATTGCAGTTAAAAGCTAAAGCTAAAAAACCAGGATTAAAAAAAAATCACTGACATGAATGTTATAAAGCATGCAAGAAAATTTAACATAGAACTATAATAAAATGGGACCACAAAAAAATCATTCATGTTAATGAACGACATGAGGGAGTTTAACCAGTCATAACTGAAAGATGAGCAGATGGACCACTAAATGCAAAGTCAAAGAGGCCAAACAGTTGCAATATGTTATGGTCTTGTGAATTTTGAAATGCCTATTAAATAGTGTTTTGGAGATTCAGCAGTTGGGTATCTGAGGCTAAAACTCAGGGGAAAATACATGTATCTTTAGGGACATCAGTACATCATAGCTAAAATATTTAAAGCCATGATACTGAATGGGATGACCTAAGGCCTGAAATGGAGCTAGAGAAGCCAAAGGACTCATTAAGCTATGGAGGTCCATCATTTTGGGGGTCTAGATGAGAAAGGTCAAGCAAAGGAAACTAAAAAGGGACAAAGGTGAAGAAAACAGAAACTCAGAATTCTAAGTGTGGATGCCAAATGAAAATATTTTAAGTAAAGAAGTGAAAAACTACATAAAATGCTGCTGAGAAGATAGGGACTAGGTGTATTCACCCTCATATGCTTCACTCCAAGGCTAAATGCTGCTACATACAAAGTGCTTAATAAATATTTGATAATGATATGAACAGATAAATAAGTAGCACTACAAAGAAAAATTAAAATAGAACCATCAAAGCATAAAATATATTAATCATACTTATTACCTGCAACTTAAGCTTATACTAAGTCAAAATGAATGATAAATGGGGCAACTGGCTGGCTCCATTGGTGGAACATGCAGCTCTTGATCTCAGGATTGTGAGTTTGAGCCCCACTTTGGGTGTACAGAATACTTTAAAATTTTTAAAAATAAATAAATGACAAATAAAATACAAGTCAGAAATAAAGTGAGGTTAGCCTGAGGTGGTTTGGAAAGATGGAGGCTTGAATATATTCCTGATAATCTCCAGTCACAACATTGGGTCAACTACTAAGCACCTCTCCTGCCTGTGCGCAGCAGGTGACAGAGGCCAGAATCAGAACTTTAAGAACCATAACAAAAGCTTGGCCATAGGAATATCAAAAGACCCATGGACATCTCTCTCCCCAATAGAAAGGCATCAACTGCATGAGCATTTCTGGGACAATCTGCTCATCTCCCTGGCTCACAAAGAGCTTCAGGAGAGCTAACCGATTGGGTTCCCTTTACCACTAAACTTGAGAATCCTCTTAGCTGAGGATATCCAGATGCTGAGAGATGTCTCCTGGTAACCCACAGAGAACTAACAACATACGAAAAGACTGCTGGTCTACCCACTATCTGAGGTATGAGAAGCTTTACCCAAAGAGCACACAACACAAGAAAGCTTGCATAGAAGAATAAATGCAAAAAGAGAGCCAAGAAATCTTTTAAGAAAGAATAGTGAGAGGAAGTCATGTTATCAGCTTTTAAAAACAGTTCAAATCCCTAGAATTAAAAACAGTAGGTAATGGTATAGAAACAGACTTATTTCAGAGAAACAAAAACCCAGAAATTGAGCCCAGTGTATAATAGAATTTAATATTTGATAAAGGCAGTATTTTATTTCATTGGGAGATGGTAGTTCATAGTTAAATGATGCTTATGCAACTGATGGGAGAAAATAAGTTAACTCCTAACTAATACAAAATTAATGTCAGTTAACAATTTTAACATACATACATACATATACAAAAATCTTAGGAAAAGTACTTAGGGGCCAATATATGCAACCAAAAGTGTTAGATCTTTTTGCCAAGAAACCAGAAGGTGTGAAAAAAAATAACTATTTGATTATGAAAAAAACTTTTAAAACACCATAAAGAAAACCCAGAAACAAGCAATAGAAAAAAATGTTTGCAACTCATAGGAGTAATAAGGTATTTATATCTAAAATATGAAAAACATTATTTCACATTGATAATAAGACAAACACAATGGAAAAGCAGAATAAATGATACTAAAATCATTAAAATAACCAATAAACAGCAACAAAATTAACATAAGATATTCTTTTTCATCCATCAAATTGATTAAATTAGATCCCTACTATCAGGAAATCAGGTAGAAAAAGGTAGACATGTCCATTACCCTAGGCTTTATGGAAAGTTAATATGCAGCATCTATTAAAACTTTCAATGTTCATATTCTTTTCCTTAGCACTCTCATTTCAGAATCTATCCCATAAAAATAAAATCATCAGTACATAAGGACATATGTATACAGATTTGTATATATGAGTC